ACATATTTCAGTGTGGAGCTGTTCTGGTTCAAGTACACTGGCATTAATTCACTCTTATCCCAGTTTATTTGAAACCCTGAGAAGCCATAATTGAGGGTATAGATTCCTGAGGTTTTGACACATAAAGCAAAATGTCGTCCGCATATAATGACAGTTGATGATTCTGCCCTTTAACGGAGACAGGTGATATTCTCGGGATGCCGTCGTATACTTGTGGCTAGTGGCTCAATGGCTAAAGCAAATAAAAAAGGTGAGAGGGGATCTCCCTGTCTAGTGCCATGGTATAGTGGGAACTGGGGGGAGATATTCTGGTTAGTGATCACACTAGTTGTGGCACTAGTATATAATATTTGCATTAAAGAGCGTTTGAGGCAATCGGCCATTTGACGCTGCATGTTTAAACATACGCNTGTTAACAACAGAGGGTGCTACATAACACACTTTCAGGAAAAGTCACGGACTGGGAGACTTTAATATGTTTATTGAAAAAAAGTTACATACAATCAAAAAACAGCTGCGGGTAAAATGTACCCGTTGGCGGTTCTAGTGTTAAAGGTCACATATTTCAGTGTGGAGCTTTTCTGGTTCAAGTACACTGGCATTAATTCACTCTTATCCCAGTTTATTTGAAACCTCGAGAAGGAGCCAAAATGGTTAAACAGCTCCATAATTGAGGGCATAGATTCCTGTGGTTTTGACACATACAGTATAGCAAAATGTCATCCGCATATAATGACAGTTGATGTTTCTGCCCTTTAATGGAGACAGGTGATATTCCGGGATGTGCCGTATACTTGTGGCTCTATGGCTAAAGCAAATAAAAAAGGTGAGAGCGGATCTCCCTGTCTAGTGCCACGGTATAGTGGGAACTGGGGGGAGATATTCTGGTTAGTGATCACACTAGCTGTTTCAAAATCCGTATCCAGTCAATGAACCTCTTCCCAAAGCCAAATGTCTCTAGGGTCAAATACATATATGGCCACTCAACCAGGTCAAAGGCCTTCTGAGCGTCCACTGAAATCACAACTGTCTCTGTATTGTGCTCAGCATATAGTATGTTAAATAGGCGTCGTAGGTTGAAATAAATATGCCTATTGGGAATAAAGCCTGTTTGATCGGGGTGTACAATCGTCTGGATATAAAGCTTCAATCGGTTAGCTAGAATTTTGCTAATCAACTTTGTTTCATTAGGGATCAGTGACACAGGTCTGTAAGATGAGGCTTCCAGCTCATTCCGGCCCTTTTTCAAGATCAATGAAATATTTGCATTATAGAGCGTTTGAGGCCATTTGACGCTGCATGTCTAAACATACGAAGCAGCAGTGGGAATAGCTCCTTAGTGAAGCACTTGTAAAATTCTATAGTCAATCCGTCAGGGCCAGGTGCCTCATTATTTGGAGATTCACTAATTGCTTTATTATCTCTTCCATAGAGATGTCTTTGTCTAGATCCGCTATTGCTTCACCGTTGAGATGAGGCAAGTTCAGTTCAGAGAGAAATGACTTAATTGCATCTGTATCCCGATTACCATTGGACTTATACAGACTTGAATAGAATTCCATGAAACGTGCATTTATTTCTTTAGGGTCAGTGAGGACCGTGCCCATGTCTGATTTATTCTCAGAAATTGCCCGGGAGGCTTGTGCCTGTCTGAGCTGTCGGGCCAGCAATTTCTAGAAATGGTTTTGATTCTGTTCATCTGCTTACTAACCTGAGCGGATACATTTGTGTTATATTCATCTCTTTGGGAAACTATAGAGTTCAATGTGTCGAGGTCTCCGGAGGCTCTGTATGAACGTCCTAGCTGAGACACACCTTCATCCAGCTCCACTAACCTCCTTTCTCTTTGTTTTCTCCTACCAGCTACATAGGATATGATGCTGCCCCTAAGCACTGCTTTAATGGATTCCCATAATACTGAATCATCCACATCACCTGTATCGCTTGTAGCTATAATATCAGGCAGCCTTGTCCGACATATATTTTAGAAAACTTTTCTCTTTTAAAATGGTGTTATCGAATCTCCAGCTGTGTTCGCCTTTATGGTTGTTAAATCTGATATCGAGTGACATGGGAGCGTGATCACTGATCAAGATGTTGTGGTATCGTGTAGTCTCAACACTAGAGATCAGCTTAGAATCCAACAACATGAAATCAATCCTTGAATAGGATTTATGCACAGGAGAGAAAAGAATAATCTCTGGCAGTAGGGTTAAGTAGCCTCCAGATATCTACTAAATGTAGGTTATGCATAGTATTTTTTAGCTCCTCGCTGGATTTACTGTTCACAGACGACCTTTGGGATTGCTTATATATTAAATTGTTGTGTCAAAGAAGCACTTTCGGCGTTTTCAGCCGCTATATTCGACAACTTTCGCATTGTCTCCTGTTACCCCTTGGCGTCTTCTCGTTTCATGGCTCTTTGTGATGCTGTCTTACTTTAATCGCTGCTCGCATCGCGATCAATCCGATCTACGATTTTCGATAGTATTGTTTCGGCCAATTTTTGCTGCGTAAAACAGATAGTGTTAGTCGTTTTCACGGTGGTCCAGTGTGAGCTTCAAGCTCAGTTACGTGCGGCAAGCTGGACAGAAAGATTCGTCGAGATGTCGCTCAGGTTGTCTCGATTGGAATGTGCAGCCACAATACATACGTTGCGTTGTGTGTCTCATTGAGTCAATATTTTTCGTATCCAATTACTAATCTCCGTTGACTATCAATAAGACTATTTCAAAGTCGATAGACAAATGTCAAAGACAGTGCTGAATCATAGTGCGGAGCTGCTGTTTTGTAACAAACAGTAATACTCACACTTCATATACGTAAATTCAATTTCTTGTTGGGTTCGTCGAAAACAAAGTGTTTACACAACTCATGGTCCAAATGGAATGATGACCAGTTCGTACTTTGAAGCTGTTATTTGGACAATTCCATCTGGCAGCGTGTTGTCCAGGCACATTGCTAGTCATCGTCATGTCTATCCTGGAAGCACAGCTTACTAGCTACGTAGCACAAGTACTGTAGCTATCTCATTGCTGACTAGTGTCATCAGGCAAGAAGTGCGTCAGGGATGAATGTTGTACTCTTCGGCGTAGAAATAAAAGGGGCTTGGACCGGGGTCGTTCACTTACTTTGTTGGCCGTTCGTCAAGTCTGTCTGGTGGTCCTGGTCCACGTCCAGCGCGCCCCCTCCTACGTCCAAGGCAGTGGGCAGATGTAAGCCAAACAGAGTCAGCCGCTTCTATTCGCCTGCCAAATTGTTGGGCTTCCTACGGTTTCTCAAGACCTACTGTCTCGTTCACAAGTGCAATCCGGTCGATTGGTCCTAATTCCTGTTGCTACTATCAATTGAAATTTCGACTCTGCGTAAACTGATCGAGAGGACGGCCACTCCTCCTCGACTGTACATGCACACTAGCATAATACGATACATGTTCGAGTCCATTCAAAACCTGAACCCCCACAATCAAGAGTCTCCCCTCACCGCTCTCCTCCGTCTCCGGGCCTCCTGTCGCGTCACAAACCAAACCATTAACCAAGTAATCCGCCGTCAAGTATATGATTCAAAAAACGTTAAAATGTACCGCCAAACACAAAAAAAAGAGAAACGTAATGTTAACCATGTACAAAATGTGTTATTTTAATAGTGTATTCGTACCCCTTACACAGTACAGTAACTTTATTTACCACTTATTAGTGTTCCTATGCATTCGACCTTGCATTCTCCAAACTTAGTGGGTCAATTCTCTCCCTTCTATTACCCGTGTGAACTTTGCAAACTTTCGAACTACAATACATAGAAGTTCTCTGTGTGTAATTCTTATGCCCCGATTTCTGTTGTTTGCATACCCTACCCCTGGTGCTTATATGGTCAGTTTGATGCACGGTCTCGATCTCCCCATCGGTAATAGTAATTCTTTTTTACAAAGCAAACTTGTATCCACATGTCAGTCACTAGGTTTACCGTCTAAATATTAACATAGTCCGGTGTGAGTTGAGACGCAGTGCAAACTAATTACAAATACCAGGTTTTGAAACTGCTGGGACGTAAAAAGTCTGTCAACAACTTACCTTAGGGTCTACAACCGTTGTGGTTTGTAATATTACCCTCCCTGAAGTTACGCAGAACCTG